ATATTTTTTCAACAAAAAATTGACTACCTGGACTTATATAAAATAAAAATGAACACTATAACTATGCCACATAACATGACGTACAAAATATACTCTAAATTTTCTCACAAGAAAATATATCTCAAGGGTGACAATTTGCCTACATTGCTTACTAAAGCAAGCAAATTCTATCTTCTCTCTTTTAAAACATGTGTGTATGTATGAATTTATTTGTATTGAGGTATAATTGACATAAAACATTCCATTAGTTCCAGGTGTATAACATCATGATTCAGTATCTGTATACATTGTGAAATGAGCACGACAATTAAGTCTAATGAACATCTCTCACCACAGTTACAGAATTTTGTGTGTGTGTGATGAGGACTTTGGAGATTTAGTCCCTTAGAAACTTTGAAATATGTAGTACAGTGTTAACTATAGTCACCATGCTGTACATTACATGCCATGGCTTATTTATTTTATAACTGGAAGTTTGTACATTTTGACCCCCTGCAGCCATGTCACCCCCACCACCCTCCCCTTTGGCAGCCACCAATCTGTGCTATCTATGAGCTTGTTTTTGGTTTGTTTTGCTTGTTTTGTTTTTTAGATTTTCTTTATAAATGAGATCATAAATATTTGTCTTTCTCTGTCTCACTCATTTCACTTAACGTAATGTCCTCAAAGACCATCCATGTTGTCACAGATGGCAAGATCCATTCTTTTTTACCGCGGAATAATATTCCATGGTTTATACGTGCCACATCTTCTTTATCCATTCATCCATGGGTAGACATGAGTTGTTTCCACATCTTGGCTATCATGAGTAATGTGGCAATAAAGATAAGGCTGCTCATATCTTTTCAAATTAGTGTTTCCATTTTCTTTGGATAAATACCCAGAACTGGAATTGCTAGGTCATATGGTAGTTCTATTTTTAATTTTTTGAGGAACTTCCATACTGTTTTCCACAGTAGCCACACCAATTTGCATTCCCACCAATAGTGCACAGGGTTCGTTTTTTCTCTGCATCCTCGCCAATACCTGTTGTATCCTTGTCTTTTTGATACTAGCTATTCTGACAGGCGTGAGATGATATTACATTGTGTTTTTGATTTGCATTTCCCTGATGATGAGATCTTCCTCTCTTTTGGCTTCTCTTTTTATCCATGCCCCTTAGGAGATTAGACTTACATGTCTTAAAAAAAGATGTTATTATTTATAGGGAACAAGAATCGTCCTTGTCTTCATTCTGTTTCTCATTCTTTTTTGTCATATGCTGATCTTGTCCAACTTTGGCTTTTGGTTGGATGTTTCCTCAGAGGTGCAGTTACTCATTATTGTCTTGGTTTTTTTTTTTTTTTTTAAAGATTTTATTTATTTATTTATTTATTTGTCAGAGAGAGAGAGAGAGAGAGAGATCACAAGTAGGCAGAGTGGCAGGCAGAGGCAGAGAGAGAAGCAGGCTCCCTGCTGAGCAAGGAGCCTGATGAGGGACTTGATCCCAGGACCCTGGGATCATGACCTGAGCTGAAGGCAGCGGCTTACCTGACTGAGCCCAGGTGTAACCTATTGTCCTGGTTTTTAAAGTCTTTGGGACAAAGTTTAGTTTTTTAATAAAATGATATTTTCTAAAATATGATGGTTTTTGTAAAGGCACTAATAGGGATGAGGCAGCTCTGGGCTGGGTACCTGCATGTGTTTCTCCACATACAGAAGCTTCCGTGGTCATGTCTATGTGTCTGTATTGCTTACGCTTTAGAGCTGCCTGCCCATAGAAAATTAACCTTGATATAGAACACAGGTCACAGGAATGAGCTGCATAACTGAGATAAATAAAATGTATAAAATAACATAAGAGTAAATAAGGAAAATGGGTAACAGGCAATAAAAGTAAATATACTTTCAGAATTTTTTTTCTACTCCTAGAACAACATTGCAAACACCCATCATCCCATCCTAAGATATAACTACTGCTAATATTTGTCATGTTGTCTTCAAGGAATTTTATATTCATATACCTACACATGTCAGTTACATTTAGCCTCCTTCTCCATTGGCCTAACATGGGGTAATAAGATTGCTATATTTTCCTGTAAATAATTTTATAAAGCACATTTTTGTGCATGAATTCTCTGTTCAAGTTTTTTAGATTGTTTTCTTAGAATCAATCCTTAAAATTGTAATTACTGGGTCACAAGACAAAAGCATTTGTAGGATTTTACCTTCCTGAAGGGCTGTTTAAATCTCTACTCCCACCAGATACTGAGAAACATGTTTTCTTAGCTGAAATCTCCTTGATTACATGAACATTATTCATATGTTAATTAATCATTTAAGTTTCTTCTTTGGTATTTTTATAGTCATGCTCTATTTATATGGAGGTCTTATGATTTTAATTACTATCTGTGTGGCCTCCTTGATTACCAAGAATATTAGCATGTTGTAGCTTTTTTAACAGGCATTTGCTGCAAATATTTCCCCCAGCTTCTTGCTTTATTTGTTTTTTAAATTTATGAATGCTTGATCTTCATGCTTTAAAGTTTTATGTCCTGAAATCCCTTTATAATTATATTCAGCATTTCTACCACCTTTTTAAGTTCAAAAAGTCTGTCTTTACTAGTGATCAAAAAGATATTAGTCTATTTTCTTCTATATGGCATAAGTTTTTACAGGCTGGAGCGTAGTGGTTAACAAGGTGGACGATTTATAGTTGATTACTGCCTTGGTCACCAAATGGCCTTGGTTAATCTCTTCTGACCTCAGCTCCCTCATCTGTAAAGTGAGGGTGATTACAGGACCATCACAAGCTGGTGTCCTGAGGACTAAGGACAAGAACTGCTGTAAAGTATTTTTAACATGGCTTAGCATGTACTTATACTCAGTAAGTGGTAATTATTATAAATATTATTATTGACATATAGTAAAAGATAAGACTTTAACGTGCTTTTCTCCCCAAACGGCTAAATAGCACTATTTTTCCTTTCCCCATTATACTCAAAGTGATTTCAGTCTATATTACACTCTAATACACTGTAACACCTGTTTCCGGCTTTCCCATTTATTTCTCAGTATATTCCTATGAAGGTGCCACACTGTCTTTTTGTTTGCTTGTTTGCTTTTAGATTGGGGAGGAGGGAACAGAGGGAAAGGGAGAGAGAGAATCCTACGCAGGCTCCACACCCAGCATGGAGCCCAATGCAGGCTCGATCCCAAGACCCTAAGACCTGAGCCAAAATCAAGAATCAGATGCTTAACTGACTAAGCCACACAGGTACCCCTGTGCCATACTCTTTTCAATACTCTAGCTTTATAACATTTAGCACTATCATATGGGAAGAGTATGCATGTAGGAAACATAATTCTTTTTCAAACTATAATGATTATTTTCTTTCTTTTCCCCACAGGGATTCTAGAGTTATATTGTAATTAAAAATTTAATTGGATTTTGTAATAAGCATACACAGCCACATCTCTAAATATACAACTTGATAAATGCAGGAAACATTTTACACTTATTAGTAATGTCACAGATATAAATTTAAGTGCTTTAATTTTTAGATACTACACCACTTTGGATACAAGATGAAATAGTGCTACTGGATGGTAGGAATAGGAACAGCAGAATGAGAACTCATTAGTGAATAAAATCCAGATTACAAATGCTTACTCAGTTTCTTAGGACATGGCCACAGATAACACAGTCAATTATTTCGTCCAGTGGAAGTGACAGAGTGGCCACCTACACGCCGTAAATGTGTTAATACAGTGCCCCTTAATGCCTGCTATGATGCAGAAGAGAAGCACACAGAACTCAGGTTTTCCTGGGAACAACTGAGAATGTGACTAGTAAAGGAGAAATGCTCTCTGATCTCGTGTTTACTACTGCATAAGCAGTAGCATCATGACATTTTAAACTACTATAGGAATTTTTGTGTGCTGTAATTTCAGCAATACATTTTTTTGCAAACATTTATTTTTAAGAACATTGCTAAACTTTTTGCTTTGTGTTTCACAGGTATTACAGGCATACGTGGCGTAATTTATAAGAAGGATGCCATGATAATTTTCATCTACTAAGAGAATGAGTATTTTTATGTTTTAATAATAATGATTTGGTCCCCCAAAGTGATTGCAGGTGATAGATAACAGAATGTCTGTAAAAGCTTAAATATTCTTTAAGAAAAGGAGTCTTATTTCTATGATGGTGGGACTCAGGTACTCTGACAGAGTGATTGACAGAGTGTGAGAGAGCAAAAGTGGAAACTTCTAAACTGTGGTAGATCAATTAAGTGGGACATTAAAGAGCATTTGCATAGGATAATATTCAGTATAAAAGGATGCCATAGAACGTGTTATATGGTTCCTAATTTCATTCTTTATAGTTACTGCTATGAAAGTTAGGAGGTGCTGAAAATATCATCTAGAAGGACTCCTTTAGAGAAGTCGTGGCATCCCTGTTTGAGGAGAATTCCAGAAAGACTTAGAGAAACTTGATGGATTTTTCAAAATCTGATCAAGGAGTGCTTCTGTTGTTGCCCTCTTTTTAAAGACTGTGAAACATCTCAGGCATTCAGAGACGCTTTGAGAAGAATATAACAATATTGTGTATTCACCACTCAGCTCAAGTAATCAAGTATTATACGTATAACTGAATGATATATTTTTTTCTAATGAGAAATGTACCATGGAAAATATAGCATTTGCATGTCCTAAAGTGTCCTTTTCCAAGGTTCTTTCCATCCGATATGTTCATTTCTCCTTTGCTGCAATAGGGTGCCAAACGGCTATAATTGGCAAAATGCTCTAGATACACATTGCTGAGCGAAAGATGGCTAATGATCAGCCAATGTGTAAAGTGATTCTAAACAGTAGGGCTAGACTGTTGATATTTTAATTCACTTGAAACTAATTAACAACTGCCCTGTGCACAACTCTCAAGGCTCCTTGACTTCTCTTCTTTTTGAGAAAAATGCTTTTCGAAACCCAACAGGAGTGGAGGGAGAGAACCCCATTACCTGTCAACACTGAGAGCACAGAGATTGAGGACGGTGATCCCCACCGAGGACTTCTGCAAAAAGGGGAACAGCTTGCAAAGAAACACGCCGAAGTCATTGTGATCAAAAGGCCAGCGGCCCGCCAGCAGCTGAAAGGAGAAGCCAGGGTCAGAAACAACAGAGGTGGCACGGAAAACGTGGACACTTACATTCATCAGTTGTGTATAACATCCAGTGCTCATCACAACATGTGCCCTCTTCAATACCCATCACCCAGCGACCTCATCCCTTCACCCTTTCCCCTCTGAAACCCTCAGTTTGTTTGTTTCCTCCATCAGGGTCCATGGTCTCATATAGTTCATCTCCCCCTCTGATTTCTCCCCCTTCATTTTTCTCTTTCTTCTCCTAATGTCCTCCATGCTATTCCTTATGTTCCATATATGAGTGAAACCATATGATAGTTGTTTTCTCTGCTTGACTTATTTTACTTAGCATAATCCCCTCCAGTTCCATCCATGTTGATGGAAATGACCACCTACTTTTCAAAGAGCAGCAAAAGGTTAGGGTTTGGGTGACAGCTTGACTGAGAAGGGAGGCGGTTATCTCTTATCTATTTTTACTAACCCATAAGTAAAGTTAGTTTTCAAGTAGCGGTATTGGAGGATTATATTATCTCTTGACAAGCAGCATGGGCTCTGAATGCGAGGTGATGGAGAATCCTGGAAAAAGGAAGTAGTTTTAGGATGTGCTGACTTGTCAGCAGCTTAACACCTTGGAGTCATTCTGAACTTAACTTTTCCTCTGTGCCGATGGGGCTGACATGCTTCACCAGGTGTATCGTAAGTGGCCTTTCTTTATTTAGGCTTAAACCTCCCTTTATCCTATGGACAAATGTGGTTACTGTGATCTGTTTGTAGCATTTGCCCGGAAGTCTTTTCTTAAATGTTGACAATTTAAAACCTCTGTTGGAAGGAAAAATGGATACCCTCTAGTGGCCATGGCAAGTAGCAAGATCATAAAACCCCCTGTGAGTTGCTGGTATTTATCTAATTAGGTATTATACCAGGAGCATGGGCTTAAATACTAGCTCAGCTACTTAAAAGGGAAGACCCTGCTGAACACATGATGCCTTTTAAGAGTAAATATGGTATTGATTTAATTTCTAATTTTTGCTTAGTGACTCAGAATTGAAAGGGATTCCACTCAATAGGAAAAACCGTCCTACTAACTTGACACAGCTTTTTTTCTCTTTTTTTTTGCAATGTACCTATTGCCTTAGTAGCTCTGAGGAGAGCTTTGAATTTCTCTTCTGACATACCTAAAACATTATGTGAGGTTTAATCTCATGGTCAATGTGGTCATTAACATAATCCTCATTTTGAGAATTTAGTAATGTAGGGCTCTCTAAAATTCTATTTTTATGGCTAAGACCTTGTATGACTTATCTCAGAAATCCTCTCTTTTTAGTCTTCAAACATATTTCCCTTTCATTTTTAAAAGTTTTTAAATTTAAATTCAATTTAATTAACTTACACTGTTATTATTTTCAGGGGTAGAGTTTAGTGATTCATCAGCTGCTGACAACACCCAGTGCTCATTCCATCAAGTGCCATCTTTCTTTTCAAAGATTTTATTTATTTACTTATTTGAGCGAGACAGATAGTGCTAGAGATAGCGAGAGAGAGCAGAAGCAGGGAGGAGAGGAAGAAGCAGGCTTCTGTGGAGCAGGGAACCTGATGCTGGGCTTGATCCCAGGACCCTGGGCTCATGACCCGAATGGAAGGCTGAGCGGAAGGAAGCCGCTTAACAGACTGAGCCCCTGCAGGTGCCCCATCAAGTGCCATCTTTAATGCCCATGAGGCAATTACCCGCCTACCTCCCCTTCAGCAACTTTCAGTTTGTTGCCTGTATATTTCCCTTTCTTTTGAATACTTTTCTGAAAGTATTTTGAATTGAGGAATCCAATTCTGCCTCTCATCTCTTTCTTTTTCCCCCTGCACTCTGATGAGTCTTTGTTACTATCTTCTCAGAATTTTTGCATAAACTTTTGTCCAAGGACAATTGGTGGGCTTTTCACAGGAACACTGCCCTAAACTCTTGATGGTTTTCCTGAAACTAACAAATAATTATACCATTGCTGATTGCTGGTTGTTAATGCTTGATGCAAGTAAAGATATAAAACACTATTTCTGAGATGAATTTCCCCCCATAAAGAGACAAAAACCTGAAAACGACTTTTTATAGAATGAGAGTTTAATATTTTGTCATGCAAGTGCAATTCTCCCCTGAAGACTACAGAGATGTAATTAAAATGTGCAGGAATTGTTACAGGGTATGCTTTACAGTGACTGAGTTGTTATGGTTGGTTCATTTCAGAAACAGAGGATCCTCATATCCATGTGGATGGATTTCCCAATTCACAGATCCAATAATGAGAGAATGGATGTTTCTTGCTTTAACAAGGGGGACTTCGAAGAAGTCCTCTGAGGTTCTAAATGACAAGTGGTAAGAAAAATGATCCAGAGAAAAACACAACTGAGCATGAACTCTTTCAGGACCTTCCAATTTTAATTGACTTTTTTCCTTTTTCATGCTTGGCAAAGCTTTCAACTAGGGTTATATGTAGAAGAAGGACTGAAGGGAAAGATATCACAGAATTGGTGGACACCTTAAAAAGATCATAGAATTGTCTTTCTTTGAAATAGAGTTTTGTTATTTTTGCTGTTATTTTTCCTTTCCCCAGGAGTGAGCATCGATTCTTCTTGGAAATTAAAGACAAAGGGAAATGAAATAAGTCACTGGATGGGATGCTTGGGTTACTCAGTTGGTTAAGTGTCCAACTCTTGGTTTTGGCTCAGGTCATGATCTCAGGGTCATGGGATGGAGCTCCAAGTTAGACTCCATGCTCATCGGGGAGTCTACTCAGGATTCTTTCTCTCTCTCTTCCCTCCCCCCTCCACAGCTCTCTCTAAGTAAATAAATCTTAAAAAAAAAAAAAAAAATCATTGGAGGACATTTCCAAACAATCACAGTGCAGACTTCTCTAACCTATATCCACTTCATTCTGAAAGGATGTATGGATAGTAACTGTCCTAATGCAACCAGGGGAAATGAGGGCACTGCAGGGGTAACTTCTTACTTTTCTGTTTAAAGGTGGCTTCCTCAAAGAGGCCCCATTATCAGGTAGGTTCTGCTTGTTAATCTTTCCTCATGGAACCAGTGTGGAAGTAATTTTACATTTCAAGTCTCAGTTCACTCTGTTTTAGCAATAAAGGAATCAAAGAGGCATAGAGTGTAGCTCACCTATGTTTCTCTTCTTTAGAAGAGATATTTTAGAACTTCTGAAAGACTACTTGCTGGGAATGCATCCTTGCTCTTATTTACTAGCATTCAAAATTGAAAACAATATTTAAAATGACAAAAATTAAGCTGTATAAAAACATAAAATGAAAAGCAAATCTCCCTTGTGATCAAGACCCCTAAACTCTCTGCCCAAGGGCAACCACTGTTAATTGTTAAATGTTCTCTTCCAGAAAAGTTCCTTTGTACATAAAAGCAAATGCCCTTAAAAGAGTAGGAACATATGGAAATAATATGTTTTAACAGTTTCTTATGATCTTTTCTGCCTAGTGTACTTTCCTGGTAAGCAGTCCTATTGCCTAATTAAAAGGTTTTGATTTTGAAAAGCACATCAATGAGAGAATTGAGACTAAGATAGGAAAAAATAAGTAACTATATAGGATAAATCTAGACCACAGCAAAGGAACTAGTTGATTTCGTTAATGTTAATAAGCCACTATCAATTCAATGAAAGAAAAACCAAACCACTGTGACAAACTGACAAGTTGGATTGGTTCAAAGGGTTTATCGGGCACCAGGTAGTCATAGCTTATTTTTGCCATACAAGGGCTTATGCTATTATGAACCCTCATATTTATAACTTCCAAGGACATCACATAGTCCCTAGTACATAGTAGGTGTTGAATGAATTAATAATCCTCAATCATTAATTCAGGAAAATATTTTCATATTTTGAAATTAGGCAGTACCAATTTTGCCTTGAAAACAAATTCATCTTGTAATTTACTTTTTATTTAGAAGTTGTTTATCTGTATCCCAGAGTAATATTTCCATTTTTTACATTGAAAGAAACCATGCACCTGTCAGTGAGTCTTTTGAGGAAGTGGGAGAACACTGTTCTAGTTAAGACTTCAGGTTAAAGAGGAACTGCCACAAATTTTGGAGACCTCGCAGTCTGGGCTGTGATGAGACTGTCCAGCCTGATAAGAACCACAGAGCAGACACTGGAACATGAAGCACATCTAACTGCATTCTCAAGTGGATACAGAGGACACCACAGACCAATCACTGAGACAGGAGAGGGCAACCTGCTGAGTATGGATGCTAGTGAAGGATACTTTCCTTGGTTCTAGCCTACGGGATTTTTTCTACAGTTGAAATATAAAGTTCCCGATCATCACCTGAAAACTAAAGTACCTCTGAATGGCAGAAATTAATGTAGAAATTATGTATGTGTGTGGCTGATTTGGATTCTGTCCAAACCAATACAAAATTGACAGGCTGCATTTTTTAACCTGTCAGAACAGATTTACCGAAGTACTTCTACCACGTGGTACACCCATAAACAACCTGTTTTTAGAATGACTAGATCCAAAAGCAGGATCTCTGTCCACCACTATGTTTAATACAAAGCAATGTCTACGTGGCAGGAACCTTTCAGAAATGTGCATTGTACCTGTTGATGTCAGTTTTCTGGAACACAACGAGCAGAAAGTGAGCAAAAATGTAATGAGCCAATTGGCTGATGTGAAATTTATGCCCTCAAGCTCACGCACTTTCCTTATAGGCAAACTGCCCGAATCTTCACCACAGAATGACATACTCTTACTTTACACCCTTACTTACTTTACACCTTTACACTCTTACTTTACAAGTTTCCAGGGGATACTGATAGTGCAGGCCCATCAACCATACTTGGAGAACCACTGCTCTAGAAGCACTTTGAGCACAAAAAATGATAGCTGAATGCACAGTAGTGCAGGAGGAGCAGAAATAGAATAGGACATAGACATATGAAATCAAAACTCATACGAGTTTAGGGCCTGCATTCCACTACTCCCTCCCCCCG